CGATGGCTTTGCGCGTTGTGTTGTCTGCGATGTTATCGCTTAATGATTACAAAATGTTCCTTACAGCATCAGAACGTCTTTAAGCGTCACTCGGAGAGCACTCGACATAACTATGCAATTGCATGCATTCGAGCAGCTCAGGCGCTGAGCTCCCCTGTGGTAGTTAGAAATTGGTCGCCGCGTCTAAGCGACCGCATAAATCCACGTGCCCGATTTCGCGCTGGAAACCGTGAAACGCACGGAGAAAGGACTAAAAAGGAAAAACGCTTCTACACCAGGTTAAATTGCCGCGTTATGTTATAACGATCTTGCATAAACGCACGACATCTGGCTGGCTGTACACGCGGCCGTCGCACAACGCTCGCCCATTCACTCGCGGGGACCGCGAGTGCCCGTCATTGACGTTCACTCGCCTCGTCAACCTTTACGACCCGCGTCAACGTCTTCCTCGATCCCCGCAACGGGAGGAGATGCCGTCTGAATTGATCATAAAAAAAATGCCACGTCTTGTCGAGAATGCGCTAATTTACTATCCTTAAAACACGACACTTTACGAGCGACAGGTCGCATTATCCATCGCGCTAGCACGCTCTGGTATGCGTTTCTTTTACAATGCTCTTTTACGTCGCCCAGCAAAATGAAGAATCGACAGTGCGCGAAATAAAAATAAAGCTTATCGCGCGCGTTGAAGAAACATCTAATTGTAAGTTACGAACAACGAATGCGATTTCCTCATAAGTTTGCAGTATACGAATAATTTACTTTTTACCGAACGGTTGTTGAAAAAATAAATCTGCAGAACTAGTCGTTATTATTGTTCAACATTGGCAAAATAGACAGTAGAGCTATTTTAAAAGTGATCATATTCTTCGATCGCATACTTGACGTGTAGAATTATCATATAGGATAGTCGTTGGATATTTTTTATTTGAGAACTAGTTTTAATGAAAAAAGAAAGAATAGTCTTGTCATGTTACAAGATGCTTTGCTAAGCTCTCTTATCTGAATAAGAATGAATATCTTATATGCAAATGTCTGTCCCGACTCATCAAATTCAGCATTTTAGACGTTGTCTCTCAATTTTATAAATGGATGCGAGTTTTGAACGCATCAGTTTGCTATCGGATTTTGAATGCATCTGGATCTGAAAATGTTAAATATCATTTCTATGGCATATGAAATATTAAAATGATTTTTTTTTTAATTATTAATTGCTTTTCAATATTTTAAAATATATTAAATTGTTACTAATGCTTATACATTTGTATATATAACATATGATAAGTGATATTAAATAATTTGCTATGCAACATCAACGTTGACTATTTAATTATGTGTTTATTCTTAACCAGTATAAGGTCGTAAATCGATCAAAATACTGATTGATAATCTGCAAATAATTGATATTATTGTTGCATTAATCAATAATACGTAATATGTATATATACATATATCTCTGATTAAAATCATACATTGACAATTATTCAATCATTTTTCATGCGATTGGAAATTTCGACAATTTTTGTGTCACGACGATCCTTTAATGCTGTACCTTGCGTCCCTTACCTGTGGAAAGAAATCATAAACCAGACGAAGGTCAGCGAACAAACTTCGTGGATTGATTAACGATACCGACAATGGTCTCCCAATCGCAATCACGCCAATGTAATGGCTCTTACGTTACTCGTGTACATACATGTGCGTATACGCACGCACATGGGACATGTGGGGGAATTCGCGGGCGTGCCGCCGTATATGTATGAAAAACGTGGGACATTGCCTCCTACCATGACCCACTGACATACAAATAGCGAAATAACCAAATGCCCTTCCGTTGTTATCCAATATATTGTAACAGGTGCCGCATCGTATTTACCCGTAAGACTAAAAACGATCGACGCAGTTCTCATATCCTCCTTGCTGTGGCAGGCGGAATCTCGAATGTCTCTGCAACGTTACATAATTGAAAAAAATATCACCAAAAAAATTTAATGTCAAGATCCGACTTAAAATTACAAATATTTGCATGGATTTTGTTTATGATTGCTGTTTGTTATAATTTCGAAACGTGTTTTAAGAATGTCGAAATTTGATGAATTTAATTTGAAAAATATACGAGATATTGTCATTCTTATTGAAGTTTAGAAATTACTTTTATAGCTATATTTAAATATAATAATAAACTATAATAATAGGTTTTTTTAGAAATATTTCATTATTGTGTAAAAATAACTTTGCGGTTTTATGATTCATATGGAAGAATCGATATAGGTATTGAATGAAGCAAAGTATTTTGAACCGTTTGTTTTATATTCTTACGGAACAAGTCTAATTTTAATTTTGTATACAAATTTTTTTGAAAAAGATTTAAAAAAAACATTTATTCTTAATAATTTATAAATTTTTAAAGTAAATACGTTTTATTTACATACGTTTTTAGGAAATTTATAATTTCTAATCTTTTTTTAAATCCTCTGGAGTAACTATTAAATTTGACTTGATAAAATACATATCTTTCTGGATATCTTTTCATTAATCGCGTAATTATAAAAAGAAAACCTTATAACCGACGATTAAATCACTAGTTTAGTTGAATAATTTAATATTACAACAAGGTGGCAAACGTTTATAAATGATGATTAATAGAGCACACATTTAAAAACAAAATAACATTTGTAATGATTTGCATGTTAATAGATTATTTAAATGCATATATAACTTTATTCCACAAAAGCATTTATAAAAACATTTATTGTTGGTATTTAATAAGAAACGTATTCACGTTTATTTCCACGTAATAGGTTTCTGGTTAAGTTGTCCAATGAATATCAACAGTAACGAGTGTTTGTTATAAGATAGGCAAACAGCTTAATCGGTGATTAAAGACGCATATGATTGTGTTTTATGTAAGTATGAGTGTGTCAATTTTGTAGTTATTTTTGTAAAATTGCAATTTGCGATTGTGCGATCATGATCGTTGATCAGTGTGTATACTGCGCGTTAAAAAAATATGGCTACTAACATCGGCGCCGCAGTTTTCCGTAATTACGGGTTGGCTGATGAGCAGAGGAGCCGCTCATCATCGAAAGGAAATAATTTTGTTTACGCAATTCCATCGATTGGAATACAATCACTGTGATCGCGGATCAGAGGAATTCTTTTGATCTAAGCATTCTAAGCGGTTAACGCGATTTATTATTTCATCTAACGCGTCGCCTCATTACTCTCAACACAATTACTCTCTCGAGATTTTCGCTCTTTTGATCCTCGTATCAACTGCGAGTGAATTTATCGTCCACAATAATCGCCCGTTACCGTTACGGTGTTGTGAGCACAGCAAGTTAGTTACTCTGAATGCGGCGGATGTCCGGTATAACTTTTCATCTCTTTCTCCCTCTCGGGAGGCGTGATATTTGTTGATTAGTGCTTTTTTAAATTCATATTTCCAAGTAAATGTTTTGTTTTTGTAAGTTGACAGTTTGATATGTGGATAATTTGTTAAACGCGCAATGAAACATCGAACATCTTATTTCAAATAAATGTCATATTTAGAATGCACATAAACATTTTACATGTTCGCAAAGTATAGTTTCATAATGTTAACATAGCTTATGACATGAAATCTTATCGTATAAATCAGGATGTCAAATTCCAATAAATGAATCATTCATCTTCCATATGAATGGAAACAAATGACATAGTTCCTCGCTCCATTATCAAACAATGGTTGACATATCCACTTTACAACATCTATAAACTGCTTTTCACTCCGGCCCCATACTGCATCCGTTGGATACGTAGGAATTCATTTTGCATTTAAAGTCATTGTTTCTGAAGGCGGCTAAGTCATTCTTGAATGCAATTTAAAAATACTTCTAATGTTTGAAATGTTTGTTTGATTATATTTCTCTAAGTGTGAGTTTATATTTGAAGAGGGGAAATGCAAGAGATAAAATTATGGAATATCTGATTGCTTTCTGATGTTTCCTATTACATCATTACCAGCGATCGACCCATATCTGATTTCACTATAAAATATTCATGGTGAATTCACGTTTGGGAAACATTACGCGCGAGCAGCGTATCTTCGAAACTCATAAAATCGGTTTAGCCGTGACACACTTTTCGCTAATTCCTTAGCCGGTTCCGAAGCGCACATACCGTTTACGATTTTGTAGAATGATCTAGCTATTACCGTACGCTCGTACTGATAGTATTGCGAAGCGGTAATTCGTCGAAAGCGAAATTGTGAGATAATTTGTCTACAAGGAATTCTTCCTTTTCCTCTATTCAGACAAAACCTGTTTCGCTTGTGTCTGTCACGTAAGGCGACACATCATCGATTTATTAATATCCATGATACTTTGAAATTAACCAATAAATTATGACAATACTTCTCATGCGAGCGATCATGCGTGTAGTGTATAGGAATACTCAGAGAATTAGCGATTGTAAAATCGAAGAAACGCTAATATTTCCTAAATGTTTAAATTAAAAATGTTTGAAAAAAAAGAGTACACATGGTGGGCGATACGAAGTTCATTCATACAATGAGGAAGCCCGAACAATACTCAGAAACGAAAGATTTCACCCGTTTTTATGACTCGGGACGAATTCTTACAACGTTATTGTGATTTATTAAGCAAAGTGTATCACAGATATTTACCGCTAATAATTCATTCTTAGAATACGAAGCGTCTGAAAGAACATAAGTCTCGGTCAGCGCAACTCTTTTTTTATGTCTGTTTTTATATAGCGTTTACGCAATTGTGGATAATTTATTGTAACAAGAGGAAGGTATGCGAAAGAAATAAAACACTGTTTTTAAGTGTTATGTAGTGTATTATATTATCATACAATTTTGCAGGTTGTCACTTTATCATGAGATTAGTTTCAAAAAGAATTGATTTTATGTTCAAATTAAATTGTAGATTCTTATAGCAAAGCAAAAATTATATTTGTTTACAATAAATTTGAGTAAATTCTTTGGTTTTTTGCAGATGGCGTGGCTCCGTTTACAAGCTTATCTGGCGAGAACTACTGGCGTACCTGTTCTTCTACTACCTCATCAACTTCACATATCGATACGTGCTTAATGAGAACCAGCGGCAGTAAGTATATTCCCGAATATTCCTGGAAATAAATATATAATACTTAACTCCCATAATTTCCATTCTTTACGAGAAAGTGGAAGGCTAAAAAATCTTAACCACATTGGAGAAAAAATGTTTTAAAGTAAAATGTACCCTCGTACATTGACATTAAGGCGACAGCGCACATTTTTTAATTAAATTCCTTCTCGTATTCGGTGACGATTATTTCCAGTTATAATTTTGATTCCACATACAATCGCCTCGGAGGAAACGCAGGAAGCATAATACTGGGTTTAGTGGATTATACTCAAGGCAATGCGGGGTAGGAAACATGTTCAATGTGTACATAATGTAAGCGGACAATGTGTGTTTGTCTTCTGACAAGCAAGGGGAACAGCGATTTAATCCGGTACTCTTCGCTGATTATTTGTTTGTCGCCTTCTTATCACGAATATAATGCCGAATTCGATGTTTGGCCAGCTAGTGCGTGAGCGTACTTGCCATAACTGCATTTTATGGACGTAGATAAAATCCATGCACACAATATCAACCTTGGCCCGCCAGCAAATCCGAAGGTTCCAACATTTTGATCACGGTCACGCGTATCATCGGTTAACATCGAAGAATTTACAATACCTTCTTTTTATTAGTATTCATTGTTGTATTTTTACCACGCAGGACTCTCGACAACCTTTCCTTCGTTTATCATTTACCTTCGTCATGATGGTTTGATGAGAGAACTAAGCAATGAAAGTACTACTGCATCCGCTAAATAGCAATCTACAAATATGTATATAAAATATTGCACTAAATTTTAATAATATTAAAGACAATTATTCCACAAGTTCTTAAGCATTCATTGCTTTAAATTTGCATACTAATTTTGTAAACTATTTTATCGCATTGTTTGTAAAATTAATCGAGGTTCTATCTTTGACAATGTAAAATGCGTTTTGCTGCGGGTAATTCGTATTTAAGGACAATGGACTCTTACAGTGAATGCAAACAATTCTTTAACTGCAAGTGTAATTACGACGCATATTCAAGTAGTAATACGATAAGCTTGCACTTAAAAAATTGGTCTACTTGCGTACAAGTGATGTTATTATTATTATAAATTTGTAATTTAAAATTAATTTACACCCATTACTCTCTCTCTTTCTCTCTCTTTTTCTACAGGTATATTGTATACATATAGCAATTGAACCATAATTTATTTAATTGAAACTAATTAAATATGTTTCGCATATAATGGTATATTGTGCACACATTGTGAGTAACCGGTTTAATTGCATTGATGTTTAAATAATTAAACTAAATCTTAGAGGAAATTATTCTATGATAGAATAATTTTCTCTAAAATTTAGTTTAATTATTATATATACACATATATATATATATATATGTATATATATATATACCTATATATATATTTTTATTTATATATATTTTTATTTATATATATATTTTTTATATATATTATATGTATATTATATTATGTATATATTATATATTATATATTATATATTATACATTATATATTATATTTATATATATATATTTTTTTAATGGTTACAAGGAACTGATATTAATATCAGTATATTCGTATAAGTGTCATTTGAATAACGACGCAACAGTATCAAACTTTATACACGCACATAAAGTATTCAATGTAGAGATGGAATAATTTCCAGTTTCCTTTAAAATTTAATTTAATTATTTAAACATTAATGCAATTAAATCGATTACTTACAATGTGTGCGATTTCTAAGAGGACTTTTTTGGCGCATCCTGTACAAGAGACTACATCATGATACATCATGAAATGTGTGCAACAAGCACTTCGTGTCCAGCATTAAAAAAAGGCATAAAAACGTAACCTGTTATTTATATGGGGCTAAAAAAGGGGGATAAAGAAGTGCCAGAAGAAAGCGCAAGGATGTAAAAAGATTTCTCTTTTAAATCGCTTCGGTTCGTCCGTGCTAAATTTAGAACTGTAGAGATATCTTAAGGCAGGTTTAGGATCCAAGGTAAAGAATAAAATAAGCGATTCAGCATTACTGAATAGGGCTAAAAGCAGACTGCGCGTGGTGGTTTGCAAGATTAATCGTCCTTCATTAAGATTCCCTTCGCACTGAGGTTTATCTGAAAGCTCGCTTCCTTTTTTTTTAGATGAATGTGAAATATCCTTCGTCTCTCGACGTACCATCGTAAAAAGTATCTTTCCAAATTATCACTTTACTTTGTTGAGCATGTTTGGGAAAAAGTATTTGATACTGCTTCGTTGTTATTTGAATGACACTACATATGACATTAGTTCCTTGTGGCCATGATATTGTACGTTCGAGTAACGGTAAGTCAATATTACCTCAAGAGTGCGAATGCAATGCCAGTTATTCGCGAGAATTCCAACATAAACCTACTTACTGAAAGATCCTGGAATCGCGACGTTGATCGTTCAGAATTGATGTGTGAAGTCGTAAAAATGAAAATGGCTACTTTTATACATGGTGATTGCGTTCTTCTTAAAATGATCAATATTGCGAGGCAATAACCGCGATATTGGCGAACGAAGCAAGTAAGGAATCGAATTTGTTTGGAAAATGTTTTCGATAAAAGAAACCGATTTACACTTTTGCTTATAATTAATAAAATAGGCCTTTGCATTTATTAATACTGATCAGCATGTAAGACCGATAATCCTATCTTCAGACGTGCGCGAGTGACAGTATCATCTCAACCTTGCTCCATTTACGCGCGAATACGTAGGAAATTCCATTTAATGTGTAATAGATATTGATAATATTCGAATTTATGTCGATATCTCAAATAAATTAGCCTTCTGAAAATCTTATAAATCCCTTACGCAATATTTCTTTATTTACATTATTACTCTTCTTTAATCTATGCTTATTAATTATGACAGTACAATAACGTAAGGATATAATCAATATAATATATGCGCATATTTTATTTTGACGTAAAGCAAGATATCAAACGAAAGTTTAAGTATAACTGATAAATTGTATTTGAAAATATTTTTTATCTTTTTTTGCAGAATTTTCGAAAAGATTCGGTATTACTTCGGCAACTCCAGCGAATCCATACCAATGTCGTTTGTCCTGGGATTCTACGTAAGTCTTGTTGTGAAGAGATGGTGGGAGCAATACAAGCTTTTACCCTGGCCGGATAATCTGGCCCTCTTCATCAGCGCTGCCATTCCTGGAAACGTAAGTAAAGCCTGCCCATCGAGAAGAAGTTTCCTTTGTTGGTTTCAAACATGATTAAAAATACAGTGGCAACAAAGCGTTCTTCTTGGAAGGATAAACTGTTCATATTCGTGAAAATATTGCGAGAAACAAAACCATTTCAGAGGTAAAAAAAAAAAAGAAATTTTAAGCAACCATTTTAACGAAATAATAGATTTTTTCCTGCGCAGAAAGACCCGCGACAATGTTAATAGATGCAACCTTCCTTCAGATAGTCGCTCGTGTTACGTTCGGTCTCATTACGCTAATGAATTGCCGTGACACGTTTCGGTGTCGTTAACCTAAGTAGGTGCCAATCCAGTCATGCCACGCCCAGAAACAAAAAAAATGTACGGGACGGTGATCCTATAATTTCGTAGCCGGTGGCAAACTTGTCTTTTTACTCTTTCACGTAGCTAACATAAATGCAAGGAACAGAACGAAACCTGGTGTAGTTTAATATCATTATTTGCCAAAACCTTGACATAAATAAATATTCTGTTTATATTTATAATTAGTTTACAATTATAATAAGTGGACTCATTTAGCGATAAAAGTCAATTTATTCTTCTTTTTTGAGTCAAAACGCAACCATTTGCACAATTTAAATATAACTATCTTTATTAGTATATTAAAAATATATACGTTATATTTTCGATATTTTCAGTATTTCACGCAATTATCGTTTTACGATTGGATCGCTGATGCTCAATAAATTTTTTAAGAAAGCCCGTTTTAATTATTTTTTTAAATTCTCTAACAAAAATCTTACCGTGAATCGGAGAGCTTCAATTTGGACAGTAAAGACGGGTTCGGTGCAAGCTTCCACCTCTGGTCAATGACTCAGTGTCGGAGTGAAAGTGCAACGTACCGTGACGAAAAAGAAGGACGAACCTACGCGTGCGCGCGCGCGCGCGTCATGCACACCTCACACCCGCACACATATATTCTTCTTCTACGTATACTGATCCATTACTTTAGTTTCTAATAAAAATATATGTCCGTCGCGTCGGTTACATCAAGTGCTTAATTTGTACCACACGCGGTCGACTTGCAGCCCTCAATTGCAACCGGGGTTACTAAAGGTGTGCGAATAGTTCGAATTCAAATCCAATCGAATCGAATCACAATAGATTCGATTCGATTCGAATTCGAATCTGCAAGATTCGAAATCGAATAGTTCGAGAATTTCAAATCAACAATGGTTCGTTTCGAATCAATCGCCTAATATAATGTTAATCCGGGAAAATTTGATTCAGATTCGATTCGTATTCGAATTAAAGAGATTCGATTCGATTCGATTCGAAGTGAAAATTTCAGATTCGATTTCGAACATGTTATAAAAATTTGATTCGATTCGATTTGATCATGCAAAAGCTTGATTCGCACTCCTCTAGGGGTTACACTAATAGAGCGAGAGTCGATCGATCACCACTAAACGATTTAATGATTTCCTTGTGCAACCGCCCTCTTCGCCTTACTCACTTAAATCAGTACTGATTTCATATATTAAACCACACAGAACGCGTTGACCAGAATACAACAATTTTCGAGAAAGTTTCGACAAAAAGCGGTTTTGATTGCACGATGTTTCCCGCCACATGTATACAGTGTTATTTCTATAAACTGCTAAAAATATCGTTATGGATCTTTAAATCTGAAGCTACAGTTGAAGTGTCGCGTTAAGCCGCAGAGCATGAAAAAAACATTAATTTCACGGTTTTCCGACGTTATTTTTACGTTGCAATGTTGGCGATAGATATGAGCACTTGTGATACCGCATAAGTTTCGCTGCATTCCGCTTGTCTGCCTCCTGACTGCCAATCCATCATCTTCGTGCGAGAAATATTATCGCGTTTATGTACATACAGTCACGGACTTCTTTAGCCAATGATTCACGAATTCATTGTGGTCTCTTAATTTGCAACATGGTTACGGTCTTGACTTCATCAATAAATTTGCGCAAACGCAAAATATCCAATTTATATTATAAGTAGAATTTAATACACTTGTCTTTATGTAAAGCAAAATGTACGTACATTTGCATCGAACATAAAATTAAATAGTTTCCCCGCGAATTATAATTTCAAACGATTAAATTTCCGCTGAAACGACTTTAGATGGGGACTTTAGCGAGACTAAAATTGCATTACGCATGTTTCAGACGTATTAACGACATTTAGGATTACCGTATAACCGGTCGTTACGTTCTCTCGCGAATTTTCGATTCAAAGCGCAGCGTGCATGCAATTGCCTGCAGTGGATCTCTAGGAACGACGCGGGTTCCGATGGAATTTTTGCACGTAGGTAGGGGACAAGGTCCTCAGCCACGGAACGAGCCCACGGTTATACATACATACGTACACCCGTGGTCATGTAATCGCGTAATACAGTGTTCGATTTGTGAATGAGCGGTAAGGCAGTGGTCGACACGAGCCTCTAAACTATGCCTTTCATTGAAATCTAATTGGAATGCAAACCCCGCGAGGCAAGACGATCGCGATGTTCGGCTGCCACCTTTCCCCGCGAGGAGGGTCGTTCGCAAGCTGCCAAACCGGGCATTTTTACACGCGCGACAGGTAAGCCGCAGAATTCCGAGGAAGGAGCCGTCTCGTTTTTCGTACGTGCAAGTGAAAGATGACGAGAAGGCCATCGAAAAGATAACGGTGATCACCGTGGTAACGGCGAATGACAATTCGATTTGGAAAGAGCAAAAATACGGAAAGAGAACGGAAATCGCGCGTTTTAAGAATGAAAGATTGTTACCATTTCTTTCTTTTTAAAAATATCGCGATTGTAACTGTAATCAATGAAGCTTGGCGTAATCTGTTATGACAGCTCTACGTACCTCAGAAGGTTTATAGCTCATCGTCGCTGTAAGCGAAGAATGCAAGGAACCTCCGCGAAGGCGACGTTAATCAATGTGTGATGTACGAGATATTGTGTTATATCACGACAATCGTGAAAAAAAGACATTTTAGTAACAAAAACTCTGACTTCTTTTGCAATTCATAAATTTGTAAATCTCAAAAATATTTCAAATACTTATTTCCTTTAACTAATCTTTCTTCAAAGTTGCGACATAATTTGAGCATACGGAAAATCTGAATGTCGACATCGTCGATCATTTCCGATTAAATTGATATTCCTCCAAGTGATCGCGGCCGTCGCGTCGGCGGATTGCAAAACGCGCGATCGGTTGCACATCAATGTCCAAAGAAGAAAGGAAAATAGCATGCGCCCCACCGAGTTCTTCTCCGATTGATACTAGAATAGTTGAAAATGGTAACGATGAGTATGGACGAACAGAAGCTTGCAATGTCGGGCCAAGAGAATAAGGGGAAAGTATGCACGAAACGTGTCTGGCATTTGTTGAAACGAATTTTGAAAAGTTGCCGTTCTCGCTTATAATGATATCGATTTATTGCGAACTCGCATTTTTATCGAAGTGATAAATTCAAACACTACGGATGGAGTGATTATAAAATTTGTTGTTATTAGCGCAAACTATTACGCAAGCTAGATCAGTTTAAATTCCTAAGAAAATTAAATTTTCTTCGCGTTAACGTTAAACTTACCAACAGGGATGGAGACTTCCTTATGGAGGATATGGATCTTTCCACAACCAGAGCTCCCATGGTTGTAGAATTCTACATCTAAAATTCGGGATATTTAAAAAAATATTTTAATTTTTAAGAAAATTTTAAGAAATTTTGAGTGATTTGACAAAAAAATATTTGACTAGGTGCCCGCGCTGCACACGTATTTATGTATATATATATATAGAGTGAGAGAGAGAATATTTCTCTCACATGCAACAAAAGAGATAAAAAATATTTGTATTGTTATTGAAACCACCCCCTTCCGCCACTATTTGGACGAGGTCCATATTTAAAAAAATTAGAAGTCTCCGTTCCTGCTTATACTAAAGAGATGATCAAAGTATATGAAGTATAGAGTTAACGTATGTTTGCTCTTCTGTTTCAGGATGAACGGGGGCGACTGATGAGACGCAATATCGTGAGGTATGCCGTGCTCGCGTATGTCATTACACTGCAAAGGATTTCGCTCCGGGTTAAGAGGCGTTTCCCGACTCTTCAGCATATGGTGGATGTAGGTCAGTAAGTTACATTTTCGAAATATACGTTTAGATAATACTAGCATGCAAAATGTGTGATACAGTCGATACCTTGAACTGCCCGCTTTCTAATCATAGGATGATATTGATAATTGATATTATCAATTATTATGTTATTTTCACAGGATTTAAAAAGAGCATCGAATTATTAGCTTTAGTAATTTAATTGTAATATTACACATTATTCAATTTAGAGCTCCATTTTAAAGATTAACGATTATGCGGCGCGCCGTTTGAAATGAGAATTGTAAGACTCACATATTATAATGTTATCAAGCATCAAGCATCTGCTTTGTACCGTGTTGGCGTTTTTGCATTTTAATTGTTTGTAACCCTCTACGGTCGATTCTAATACATAATGTTAGTTATTGATAATTGAAGCATATGGGAATTGAACTTGATCTCGCAAAATATTTGCAAAACGTTTAGTGCTGTGATCGCACCTAATCTATGAAGACTACAGATCAAATTAATATACATTTGTTCATTCCAATTGTTCATTAATATATTTTTTATTCTAATAATTCATTTATGATAACTAAATCTTGACGAAACATTTGTCCTTCCTAAATCGGATTATAATAATAATAGAATAATAACAGATTCTCAAAATAGCTCATCAACACTGATTGCAATTGGAAAGATTTCTAATGTGTCATGAATTATTTTTCCCTCGATGAGGGACATTATGCTTGGCCTTGACTTTCACGGATCTTTATGATCAAGTATTATTTTTTATGATCTCTAATACTGTCCGCGTTTTCAATTAATATTACTTTCAAATCCTTTTGTTTAATATTTTCTCTACGTAATTTGTAATCTCCAGAAGTTATTCGACTATTGATATAAATTTTTTCTATAATATAATATTATATTATCTTTAGTTTATATAAATGATATCTATACATAAAAAAGAAGTTGTTTCTAAAGTTTTTAAAGATCTTAAAATATTTGCGACAATTATTCTAATAATACTCTCACGCTGTATTACTGTTAGTATAATCAATGTTATTATTGGCATTTCTTCCTGCTTACGATTGCCGATACGCCGTAATAATCACCGATACGGTTAAAAATACCGTCAATAATTGCGAATACCGACACCAAAGTACTGTTGTTCAAACTTTTTATAATTCGCCAGAAGTCCAGCCATTTTTGCAATCGACGAATGCAACGAATAAGGATGATAGCCCACCTGCATTGAGCAGAGAGGTCGCTTTTCTCCTTGTGCTGGAGCTCACGGCTCTCTCATCGCGTTACATGTCACCTTTCCACTAGTCGACGTATATATCGGCGGGCAAAGCCGTTCACCACGTCATCCATAAATATATATAATATAATGCAGCTTCGCCATGTGTGCTGTGATGGCGCAAGGTCCGCAAGGACAGTCCGGTAGTTCTGACTTTTTTTTCGCCGCTCTTCGAATGCGACTGCGCTGGCGAGCGCTATAGCGATATCGTGACCATTGAACGCCGGACAACCGTGACGCTTTTCTGTCGCGCGTTAGACGTCGCGCGAAATAATGGATGACGGCGGAACAAAGTCGTGTGTTTCAGCAGTTAGCGCATTAAACGGTACTCAACGGAGCAACGTTAAATGCGCGCATCTATTATCCGTTGCGGCCTTATAAACGATAATTCATTTTTAGCTTTGTTTTATTAATATATATCGATTAGAAATAAATAATCAGATTTAATATTTTTAGACGTAAAGATGATTAGTGAGAGAAATAAACAAATTTAAATGGAATATCTGTAACAGAGAATAACTCGATATTAGATATTGCAAACTGTTTTACTTATTAATTCACATTTATCAGTCATATTCTGCTCAAGCAAGCGACTCGTTTTTGATAGTATAAATACTAAATTTCTATAAAAATTAATTTGTTGTTTAATTTTATCGTTGAAAATAATAATCTTATAAACTAATACGAATAAGGCAAGACAATATCTTATCCAAGCGATTCTCCTTCAAGTTATCAATCTTCATTATCCAGACGTAAGATTTATTTTCTCGATTGTTACGTTATTCTTCGCTGCTTCCTGTAATTCTGTCGTCTGCAAAGAAGCCTGCACATTTTATGTTCAGCTTCTTACTGTCCGACTGTCAGAGCGGATGTTACTCCAGAAATAGCTCGCATTTCTCTAACAAGGATCCCGCGAATGCTCCATGAACATGAGGGTACCCATCCATCCCTAGATCGGGGAATGGTGGGATCTCTCTACGGGTAAGAACCCGCTCTTCCGTGGAAATGACTGACTTCGTGGCGCGGTGAAACGTGTAAGAAACGTGCCGGCGCGACGAAGAAGCCTGGCTCTCACAATCAGAAGACAAACAGGATCTAAATAGGAGTCTTTACTATATATCATGGAAACAAAATCTGCCCAACAACAGCATGCTCTGGGCGATAGTCTCATTAATAATGCATGTGTGAAAAATACATCGCATTTCTATAAATAAAGCGATGCATGCCGGCTTTTTCTAGTTTTGACTGGAATACAGTCGTTTTTGTAATGAAATAATCATTAAATGATGAAACCGAAGGAATGTCGATGGAATGCTGATATAATTTTTACGGTATGTGCATTAGAAATGTAACAATTCCTACGTTGTGTGAAACAAAACATTACAATCGTTGTCTCGTTAAGAAAGGAATGAGGAACTACACGCAGAAGGTGTTTGCACATTATAAATTTTGCAACTGCGATAAAGTAAAAAGAAGACATTTTCTACAAGCTGCTCATACTGACTTGAGCTAAACGGATTATTTAACGTGAACACGTGTATTAATTTGATAAATTGAATTAATGAGACAGAAAATGAACATGATATATTTCATAATAAATCAAACTACGCTTACATCCAAATTTGCGAGAAATATGCAAATTATTTGGAATAAATATATCCTCAGAAAAAGTCAAAATCTTTAACGCTCATAAATAAAAGATCATGTGAGAACAGATGTATATCGAAGAAAAGCGTGATATCATCATGCTATCATATTTTCTCTTTGAAATACACAGCTTCAAACAATACGTTTATATGTATATGACAAAGCTATGAGCAGGAAAATTATTAACGCAAATATATACATACGTCATGCAATGACGCACGTTTGTCAAACGCCAAACGCTATATGTTTTTGATAGGCAAAACATCATATACTGTGAAAATAGATATCGCGTTCAAGATCAGAACAGCATAGCTTGTATGTGTATATGTAGAAGTATACAAGGGACAGATTTTAATTAGTCTTTTTATTTTATTGTGTCTTTAATTAAAATGTGACATACTCGAAACTGCGCGCACAATACGCGAATATAATATCCGGTATGACAAAGTGACGGATAATAAATTTCGTAGAACTGACCGTACTCAATGGATATCTTTTTCAAGAAGCACATGTGCGTAAATGTGTGCGCGTGTGCCAATGTAAAATTGCAACGGACGTCATTCAAAACGATTTCATGCATGCACGTGTCCAACGACTGGTCGATGACATCGATGAAGTATTGCGAGAGAGACAGAATAAATTTGCCGCTATGACTCGCGTCAGTTACGTGTGTATTTGTCAAGGAATCATGCAAGCCCGAAGTTCAGTCCCAGTAGAAAACAGTAGGAGACATGAAAACTTCATCTTGAATTGTTCTAATAACAATTCTTATAACAAAAATAATTATAATTTTGAATGATCTAAACTTTCCGTCTCCATCTTATTCTCGTCTTAATTTTTGAACTTGACAAGCTATATGAAAATAGTCTCACGAATTGAAAATATTCGTGTTATATCGCAAATGAATGTTTCGTGCGAATATAATACGACATCAATAACTTCGACGCCGAAGATCTCCGTAAGAGCTGAAAGTCGTTCCGTTGCGTGTCTGCGATCGCGAACGATCGCGCGAGATTACAGTGCGACGAGAAGAAATCTCGAAACTCGTGTCTTGAAAGTAGTCGAAATTATCCGCGTGTACCCAATTCCCCCGGCGAATTACGATCTGGAAGCCGTCAGGCGCCGCGGCGGCGGTCGCACTCGCCTGTGCTGTCGGCCACGACCGCCTCTCGCGCGCCGGCAGGCAATTTTCACGTGCGTCCGGGTAATTTTCAACGAGCGCGCCGAGAGACCGCTTAGAAAACGCGGAGCGCCGGCGCCAGTTCCTCGTCCTTTTCCTTTTCCTTCTCCGCGTCAACTCCTCGTTTTGCAATGTCGCGTGGCTGGAGCAAGTACACAGCGGCATCTCACCGCTTCTATATTCCCCGAGCCGAGCCGAGCCGAACAAACGTTGCGGGCTTCTTCTGCCTTTGCTCCCCGTCCTGTTCTCGTTCTTGCGTGCCGTTCCTTCCTCCTGGTGCATACAGAAATAACTCGACGCAATTGCGGCCGATCCGATGCGTTTTAATGCCGTGCGTCGCTCGATAATCATCGGTCACGTCTTCGCGATTTCCTCGAGAGGAGTTCCTTGGTCTTCGGCTCTTTCTTCTCTCTTTTTCGCAGACCTCCTTGCAATCACCCATTGATTTTCACCGTTAACGCGCGATACGATTTTCCCTCTGGCTTTATCACAGATATCACTTAGCCGATTCAAATGCAGGTAAATCTCTTTTTGTTTCAAGACCGTGATCCGTCGATCTATTAATGGCATAAGCGAGTACTCTAAATGCACGTGCTATCAGGTTAATGGTTCTGATATAGAATTTTAATTTCTTTTCCAACGATATGCTCATCCATCAATCCGCGCGAGGTAAGCAATCTATTAGTTTTCAGTTCAGACAGAACAAAACGTAACCGTGTCGTTCTGTCAGACGCGAGATGATGCTCGGACGAGCGATTGTGGAATGGCTATCTTGGGATATCTGTATTAAAATTCCTTGCAGTTATATCGGGACTAGATGTTAAACATAACCAGTAATATGAGAGTCATAATCTAGTCGTGACTGCAGATGATAATCTCCAGACTCCTCGGTATCACGCTGAT